TTATTAGAACAAAGTGTTCTTGCATTGAGGGAGTACTTGAGTAGAAGTCCAATGTCCATCTGCTACCTTATTACTTAACATAAATATATGCACATAGATCTATTTCCCTATCATTATATGTATGTATATTTCTATATATACATGCCTATATAAATGTCCTTTGACTCCTAGTTCTTTCCTCTATTTCCTTTTACTTTCCTCTTGTCCCATTATCATGTTCAGCCTTCATTTGGGTTTCAGTAATTCCTCTTGGCTACATTGCCCTTGATCAAGCCCCACCAAGCGTCCTATAGCCACCTCGCCATTATTTTAGATCACTTGTTGGGGAACCCCATTTTCCTCAAAAGACACCAGTTCCTATCCACTTTGAGGATACTTTGGGGATTAGATGAGTTTGTGAAGAATTTTTTACCACTGAGAAGTCCTATACAAATATATGCCCCTGGTCAGTCAGTCACACACACACACAGAGAATGTGCTCAGTGCCTTAAAATCAAACTGGATAGGTACCTACTGTGAACCAATCTACTTCAGATATGCATGCCTCAGACATTTTTTAAATGACCAAAGTCCTGCCCTCATGGTTGATTGTTAATTGAAGTTTTGATGGTTAATTGAAGTTGGAGAAGGTGAAAATAAATTAAAAAATAAAATTTTAAAACAACTCATTGCCATTAATCTATGCCCCCTCACAGTGACCCTACAGGACAGGGTATACGTGCCTCTCTGAGTTTCTGAGACTGGAACTCTAAAGGAAGTAGAAAGCCCCTCTCTCCCCCAGAGGGGCTGGTGGCTTCCCGCTGCTGACCCTGTGGCGAGCAGACCCACCCCACCCCCAGCCTGTTAACCACTGCTCCACAGAGAAAGGAAGGAATCTACAAACTGGCAGTGCATGAGTCACAGCTTCCGTGAAAGTTCTCCTGGGGTGAAAGAAAAGGCTACTGGTTTTCTTTGGACTTTCTCCAGCTTATTGTGAAGCTTAAATAAGCAAATAGCACACGCACATGCATGGCACACTTTCTTACACAGAAGAGAGAAAGTCTTTCATATAGAGCAGTGGTTCTCAACCTTCTCATGTTGTGCTGACCTCCAACCATAACATTATTTTCGTTGCTACTTCACAACTGCAATTTTGCTACTGTTATGAATCGGACAGCCCCTGTGAAAGGGTCCCCAAAGGGGTCGCGACCCACAGATTGAGAACTGCTGATGTAGAGTGAAGACAATGGTCTAAAATCATTGCAATCCCAGGAAGGAAAGGATGACCTCCGATCACATAAAAGCAAGTCACGTGAAGACACCCTTTCTAGCATACTGCTATATTATCTCCTATGGCGATGTGGAGGGGTGTGTGTGTGTGTGTGTGTGTGTGACACATGTGAGCTTTATTTTTCACTTACCAGAGAGCGTCTATGCATCTGTAACTGAATCCTGCTGGGTAGTTTTTTTCCCCTTCGCAGCATCCCAAGCATCTTCCCATGCCCTTACATATTACTCCAACATATCATTTTAATTTTAATTGAGCACAATTTTTCATTGAATCATAATTTAGTCAATAATTTTCTTACATGGGTCATTTAAATTGCTTCCACTTCATTACTACACACAACTTCGGTGTATATATATTAATGAGGGTGCCTTTTTAAGAGTGAGAAAATGTTTACCCTCAAGCAGAAGCCACCAAGACGAACTATACATGTTTTATATCTGAGAGTAGAAAGAGCCTTGCAGCACCATCTTTTATTAAAAATAAATAAATGAAACTGCGCAGGTTCGGTGAAACAAGGAAGGAAACGTGGGTTTCTTCCCTTTTGCCTGCTCTTCTTAATTTATAAGACAAATATAAATGCTTCCATCAACTTCATGTTGACACTGAAAATTATACAACAAGAGCAAAGAAGACTCCTTTATCAGGGGACCAGAACTAGATGGTGCACGTAAACCATTACTGAACATTTTTATTACAAGTG